TGAGAAAACGACGTAATTTTCTCACACAAACCAATGACGTAACAATCAATACCTGCTCACAAGAGAAGATAACTCTGCAATACGCAAAGACGGAATATAGTATTCGTCTGCTGGATTACCAAACTACTCGGTAGTGAGGCGGACGTAAAACCACTCAAACAAACATACAAACAACTTTATAGTACATATATGATGTTATCGAATTGCATCTATTACGAGTGATAATAAAACAGTGGACTATCGCTTTTCCGATATCAATTTTGAGGCTATCCAGGTGTAGGAGAGATGGGATCAGACAGGCTATCCAGGTGTAGGAGATATGGGATCAAACAGGATATCCAGGTGTAGGAGAGATGGGATCAGACAGGCTATCCAGGTGTAGGAGAGATGGGATCAGACAGGCTATCCAGGTGTAGGAGAGATGGGATCAAACAGGATATCCAGGTGTAGGAGAGATGGGATCAGACAGGCTATCCAGGTGTAGGAGAGATGGGATCAAACAGGCTATCCAGGTGTAGGAGAGATGGGATCAGACAGGCTATCCAGGTGTAGGAGAGATGGGAACATGCAAGATATCGAGGTGTAGGGAAGGTTGGTACAGGAAGGATATTTAATGTTGGAAGTCGGGAACGGGAAGCATATCGATATATATAGAAGGTGGTAACAGGCAGGATATCGAGATACAGAGGATATTGAAACTGCAAAGAGCTCGAGATGTAAAGGACGATGGAAACGGGTAAGATATCGAAATGAAGAGAGATTAGGAACGGGAAAGATATCGAGTTGCATTCGAGGTGGGAACGAGAAGGATACGAAGATGTAGAGGATGTTGGAATTGACAGGTTATCAGAAACTGGGAGAGTGGATTAAGGAAGGAGGTAAGTTCTACGCACCTGCTTCTCCGTTTGAATAGTAGTATAATCAATTTGGATTTTATACTTTTTGGTCCCTGTCATCACTGATGAGTCCCAGAAGGACGGAGCAGCAGTATGATGCAGTGTAACGTTTTTTTGTTATGCTTATTGTATCTATTTTAAAGATGCAATCACCGGTGTTGTGTTTAACATTAATCGTTAAAGAATTACTTTTTGTAAACGTTATAATAAATTGTCTCAAAACCTTGTGGATTATTAAGGTCCATTTTGATCGTCTATTTATAGTAAGTTTGCACCTTTGTTACTATAAAGAACTAATGTGCAAGTTATTACCTGCACGTTTTAATGGACCTGCGTTGATGTGTCTTGGGACTGCAGAGCAGTTCTACTGCTTTGTACTAATGTCTGTTTACATGGGGAAGAGATGTCATTGTCGGTAATGTAAACAGTGTTTATTGCCTGTGGTTCATGAGTGTACACAGTGACAAACGCGTTCATTGTATATATGTATCTATCCAGCTAGCAGCAAACGGCTGATTGTCGTTAAGGGAGAAATCACATGCGATATTCAATTGAAAACGACAATGATGAATTATAACACGATTCGGATACAAAAATATTTTATTTTTTAAAATACATTTGAGTGGTGTTTTTTTTTAACTGATTTGCTAAATTGGAGAAATTATGTTTGATTTTCAGAACCAATAATAGCTACCTAATGATGCATTCAGGTGAAATACGTGAATATATAATGTTTTATAGAAATCGAGACAGAAAAAGCACATACCTTAGCCATAAAAACAGTCACCAATGGATACAAAAACGCTATTTTTATCATACATTAAACAATGTTGGTGGAAAGGTAGCGAAGCGGATGGCGCACTCTCTTTTCACTAAGAGAGCCGGGGCTCGATTCCCAGATCAGAAGTGAAGAGGTATTGAGCCATTATTAGACCACGTGAGTTTTGTCTACCTACTGCAGTTCATTTGTTCGCTTCAATTCGGCCAAGCAAGAGTGATTAATGAAAGTTGTTTCATAATTTTGGTAAAATGAATACATTTCCTCTTTGAAATATCTTAACGCAAAAAAGCTTAATAGACATTTAGGTCGGTTATATACATTTTCCACAAATAAGCCTTTTTTTCTTTCGCGGGGATACCTATTGTGTTTCCTTTTGCTTTCAAAGCCTACTCAGTTCCCGCAGCCCAATAACATAATAAAATGAACGATCAACGCTTTTCCAAAATCAAACCCTATCTTATATCTAGGCCACGTCATTTTATAAGAAAGTTAAAATGTATTTCGTTACATTAAACATGGAAGAATAGATATAATCAACGCAATTTTGTATATAATGCTTGAATATATATGTAATACGAGTGTTGTAATTGATTGAGATGTAATGAACGAAGGCCGTTGATGAAGGAGTTTATTATTTTTCAACTTTTTCTGCGTCATTTTGGATTCCTCAGGTACTCATTACACCCTAACACAACCACAAATGTTGATTATTTCTTAATTAGTCATACGAAGTCAGTCCTACCTGTGATGACATCATTGAGTGATCGATAAGAGGTACAGGTATACCGAGTACGTTTAAACTGGTATATTAAATGATTACATAATACGGTACGCGCAGGTGTGGTAACGTATAATTCACTCCCTTCGCGCGCTTTTATCGTGTGAATCATGCGGTACACCCAAACGATTCACTAGAACTGACGAAGAAAATCACCTCACTGTTGTTGAGATATGATATACTCCAAGACCCCGTCTCTCTCGAGAGGCGATGAACCATCTCCCAAACAGGTGTGAAAGGGGGAGCGGGGAATGTGTACCTTAAATCAAGTTAAAAGTTGTCTTACGTGCTAAAGCTAGCAGCTTCGACACATGTTTGATTGGTCAGTTACGGAGACATCTGGAGGAAGTCATTGCCATCGGCAAAACGTGAGTTGTACTAATTTTACCGGCGTTTCTACTGTTAATTCATACTGGCTCTTATATGCTAGGTTTTGGTTGCATCGGCTATTCTCCCACATACAGAAACTACAGAGTGACTATAGGGACGCACGTGACCACGAGCGACGATATACATGATAAGTTAAACATATTACGTTATCAGCATCAAGGCTGATATGCATTGTTTCAATGATATTGAATTGCGTTCATGTATTCATGAATGCAAATAGAATGTAGATAACCTTGAATGCTTACGCAAGTCACATCCAAAACGCGTGAAGTTGAACATGCGATCAAATATCCCTACAGAGAATGTTTATTAACCAAACCATCTAGCACTTGGCAGGGACCTTAGAGCATGAGATATATTATTCACGACAGGCCCGCTGAAGTATGTACAATAACTGTGTAAATGTGGCTATCGACACCCAACAATGCGGTGGTAAATAATGTTTAGAAATCGTTGTATACATGTACATAAAGCAGTGAAATAATTTAGTTAAAAAAATAAATATTTTCTGTTTCTAAATTGAAAAAAATAAAGTATGTGGTAGTAAATATAACACATATTCAGCTTTCGATATTTTTTAAAATGTTTTTGTCTGGCTTGTAAAACAGCAACGAGTGACCAATGGTATTTGCGAAAAAATCTGTTTTACTGTTTAAACTTCATCAAACCAATAGTTTCCATGGCCATTTCAATCTTTCATATCATTGTGTGATACAGATTATTTTGAATCATCTGATACAGTGACATCTATCTGCACCTTACTCCGGTGTCACCATATGCCCTGTAGTTTGTTGCTAGGGTGACAGCGTCACCTTATGACCTGCAGTTTGTTTCGAAGAGACAGCGTCACCATAGACCTGTAGCTGGTTGCTAAGGTAGTGTCACCTTACGACCTGTAGTTTGTTGCTAAGGTAACCGAGTCACCTGATGGTCTGTAGTCTGTTTTAAGGTGACACCGTCACCATGTGACCTGTAGTTTGTTTCGAAGGAGACAGCGTCACAATATGACTAGTGGTGTGTTTCTAAGGAGACATTGTCACCATATAAACTGCTGTTGTTTTCGTTTTGAGCCGCGGTGGCCAAGTGGCTAAATAGTCCTTCACCATGGGGTCTCGGATTCCAGATCAACGTGGATCAGTCGCCATGTTCTGGCCTTAGGTCGGTGGGTTTTCTCCGGGAACTCCGGCTTTTCTCCACCACCAAAATCTGGCACGTCCTTGAATGATCATAGCTGTTAATAGGACGTTAAACACAAACAAACTAAATTGTTGCTAAAGAAACAGTGTCACCATATGACCTGTAGTTTGTTCCTAAGGGCACAGGGTCACCGTATGATCTGTTATTTGTTTCTAAGGAGACATTGTCACCATTTAATCCATCATTTTGTTGCTACGTAAAACCCCCGATAAAAATCCACATGGAGAATGTCTTATCCATTACTCCATTGTTATCCTTCTAAAGGTGTCTCCCCCTAACACATGTCGTCTTCCATTGTCATATAACGAGTTTAAACGAGCTCACATTATCACTTGAATACACTACAAGATATTCATACAATGGTCTTTTGTATGCGTGTCCTCTTTCCACTCAAATGTCTTTAGCACAGGTGGTTATGTGTCCGAGCAACTAGTTTAAAATAAACCTATATGTAATCCTTGCCCAACATTGACAGCAGGTGCTGAGGAACATTTCTCTATAGCACGCATTTAATACAAATGTGCTATACATTTTTAACATATTTCATTATAAAAAGGCACAGAGGGATTGGGCCAAACTTAATCGTCCCGGCATGTATCAAATAATGAGTATGCGTATTAATTGTAAATGTACCTGTGTATGTATATATCTCCGAGAAAGGATGAGGTTATTCCAGTATACAGGTCTAGGTCGTTATCTAGGATACACGGAACCGCTCTAGCGCCTTTTGCTAATTAGTGTGTGCTAATAAACCGATATGTAGTTCTCCTAATGAATGACATGAAATTCAGTCTATTCCAAATCCACGGTCAATGAGTATGATCTTACTCCAAGATTACAAAACTGTAGCGCATTATAATTAACTGTTATATAGTATATAGCCACTGTATACACGTTCACACACACACATATATATAGCCCTACTCGAACTAGCGAGACCAGCCAGTCGTAGCACTGACTTTCCAGCTGAACGGGTCGGTGTGATACTGCAGTGGATATTGGTGTGGAATTGATCTCGCTTCAGTGGCTGTTCGGCGTGTATCCTAGAACGCCGGCCACTAGGCAGAGACACTGTCGCACGCGAGGAGGTTTAAACTTGGTCCTAGTGATAACGTCAGTGGTTGTCACTAGTACCGTCCCCGTTAACATATAGAGTACCACTAAGGCCGAACTTCTACATAAGTGGATTATCGTCGTTGGAGACAATTTGCTTACACAATGTGGCACATTTCCGATAGTTTAGGGACAGGTCTATTTGAGTGGATTTGTGAAACATAATACATTATTTCGTGGAATATTTAAAAAGCAAAAATGGATTTATTACTGCAACGGAACTATGATGGTTTCCGATGAATGAATGGCTATACAATTAGCAGACTCGTGGGACATGTAAATAGGATTCTGTGGACAGAGTACCAACACTTTAACCGTTTTAATCATTGGAACACAACTGCTTTTATCCGAAACAAGAATCTCCTAGACAGGAATTGTGAATGTATTTCTTATACATAGGCAGTGGAGATAGCTGATATCGGAAGTCAATGTGAGCAAGGTGAGTGCCGACTTTGTAATACACCTTGAATGAAAGCAATTGGTTACTCCATGGATGTACAACGTTTCCAGTCGAAAGCTCCCAGCTTCGTTTCCCTTAGAAGTCTGTGTATAGTACTAACCAGGGATTTTAAAATCGACCGACAACAATATTTGGAAAGGCAACGATAGATGATGACAGAATCATGCAAATTATTGTGAATGATATCTTAAACAGGCATAGTGCCCCTCTAATTCATTGCTGTTTCTGCAAAGTACCAAAGTTACCTGGCTATATATCTATATAAAGGTGAGTAATTTTGTTTTAAAAGCATTATTGCTGTTAGATTTGAAAAATGAACAACAGTGAAAAACTAAGCTCGAGAAATGAAAAGAATGAATCAAAATATTGTTTTTGCTTGAAACAAATTCTCCTGTTATTCGCGGCGTGTATTTCTGAGAGTCTGATCGCGCGCGTGCAACGCACTAGGATTAAATTTTCTTTTATGTCACATCATTAAATACAAAACATGGCGGACCGAGTACGTCCTATAGAAGGAGATTGGAAATCCTTATTGATGGATAGCACTATGCACTAGGGAATGCGGTCTCATTATTAGTCAGTTGTCAAGCGTATTACATCAGAAGACTTTGGCGATGGCCAGTTCACTGGGTATTACACCCCATGTTGACCCATACCTAGGCTATTGGCCTGAGGATTTCCCCAATAATTAACGTCATGACACGGTCTTTAATTACCATAGATAGATGAGTAGAGATACGGGCTATTACTTGGCGTAGTCTATGATGGGAAGCAACGCCAAATACGAAATATAACTGCACTATGTAGCGAAACAACACAGAAATTGATCTTCAGCAATGTTAGAGACAGGAGGGTAGAAATTCGGGTTCCACAGATGTCGGTTGCTGAAGTCGTGATTAGGCCGTTATTTGGAAGTGGATGAAACCCATTTAGAACGGGAATGTTATTAACGGACTGGTTTTCAAACCGTCATCTGGGAGTGACATAATCTATAATACACCAAGAACTGTTAATAGATAATGTGAAACTGAATCCCGATCTTAGTTACTTATTAAAAGACAAGAGGTGAACAGATATCAATTCAACTGAATATGTTTGAAGCCGATGGTGCTTACAACTAAACGGCATATATAGGTAATGAGGAAACTCGTCATGCGATATTTTCTTTTATGACAGATACATTCTACTAGCAGGGATAAACATAAAGTGCCTAACACCGATGTGGTATTCACTTGCTGTGCTAAATTAAAACATTGAAATGCATAGAATATTCACTTAACTGATGCTGGACTGATTTATGTATACAAATGCAACCTATTTAAATACATTAGATAATTAAGATAATATTTACTTAAACGTTTAAACGGTTTAGAAATTGTTTCCGGAGAAGGAACACAACAACATTATATTTAAGTTTCATGTTGCAAGATATTTTCTATCTGTATCATAGGATTATGACAGAAAAGAGTTATTCTGGTTTAAAAATGGTATACAGGAAAAATCGAATACACAAAACAAAATCTCCAAGGATATGTATGCACTCAATATTGTGGTTCGTGATCCAAAATGGATTTTGTTTCTGAACTAAAATTAATTCTATTACAAGAGTGTTTCAGAAAGTAATCACCCGTACGACGTGAAACCCTCTGTCTTACTACCTGTATAATTCAACGGCCGTAGATTTATGTAATAAAGAAATTGATTCTTTTCCGTCGACGTCTATCCGAGCAAATTTCATCATCTGATGGAAAACTAATGGAACAAACGATGTGAAACCAAATGCTAGATGTGGTGCAGAATTGATTTTTGTTCTGTGAAAATTGAAACTAGATGAATACAAAATAACTTTAAGGTGTAAGTAATGAACACTTCTAATTTGCGTAATAGAATCATGTTTTTATCGAATATATAAAATTAAAACGAATACATACAACGAAATACAAAATTGTGTTATACAAAATATTACTGATACGAGTCGGAAACGAAGCCCTATCGACAAGTATTAAAGTGTGAACATTTATTTGACGGATGCGCCATGCTGATAGACAAATCCTTGATGGTATCGGAATGGTAGAGACAGCTAAATGATACCCTGTGCATGACCTATATCAAAGTGGCCATATATATTTATAGAAAGAGCAGTACTGACGAAAACATTCCCTGTGTACTCAGTGAAGGGAAAGCAATATCCCCATGGATTCTCTTGATTTTTTGTCCTGATAAAACACTACAAAAGGGAAATAAGAGAGGAAACATCCCCGAAAGCAGTTACGTGGATAACTAAAACACACGAAATGATTATGCAGAACAAGCGTTTTTATTATGGCGTTATATAGAAGGAGTGTAATATATGTTATTATAAAATTGAATGTGTGTAACATCGAACCCGCATTGAGCTCTTAAGATAACTAACGCGATAGAATAGTATGACCATCATTCCTAATTTGAAATATTTTATTTCCTTCAGCCTTATACCATATATATCAACATCCTGAAATGCATTTAACAAACGAAAGCTTTTCGAAATCTTTATACAACAAACAAACCAAGAGGTCGAACCAATTCGATGCCAATCCTACACTTTACCCGTGTAATTACCAAGGAATTATAAAAACCGCATTAAAATCAGAGATGAATGTCTTGACAAGGAATGTAAGTCTAAGCAAGAAAAGAAACTTAATTTCTTTTACAGAAGGGAGAACACCCCAAGCTAAAACAAATCTGAAATGGAACTCTTCTTTGCGAGTATAATTGGTACATTGGCACTTTGTACCTTAAATATCAATACCTAATGTCTATCTGCTTCACTGGCACGGATTGTATTGGTAAATTCTAATTGATTTAAGAGACAAATACGGTCAGAAAGCGAGGAGCACTTATAACACTGAACAGTTGCTGTAACGTGGATCGTTAGCTCGTTCACGGCCCGACTAGCCAAACACGGCTTTAAACGTTATTATTTTCGCTTCCGGTTTTTTCAAAACACCTTACTAACATGTTTTGAGGACTGAATACATAGATTTCTTTTCACCCACGATTTGTTGTTCGACCCAATTGCGGACCATGTTATGTTTGGGCCATTGTGCTGTTCTTCTCTGTATATTTGTTTTTGATGCGTGACTTTTTAATCAAAATTGATTTTTTTTGAAACCAACACTGGGCTTTGGTTTATGCTATGAACTGACGGGAGCCCTACTGATGTATACTTCCTTGATCTTTCTTACTGAATCGATACTGATATCTACAGAAATCGATGCGTATATATCCATATAAACAAACCTCTCGTATAATTGAAGCTTCTGAAATTAAATCACATATCAGGTTTTAAACGTTGTGCCATGATATATCAACTTGTTTTGCACAGTCAGCTTACTTCAGTAGTCTTATATTTGAAATTTTAGATTGCAAACTGCAAACTCTATCATTGATGTTAAATGGAATCAAATATATCATTAGCTCAAAACGAGAGATAGAATGTTTAATGAGGTACCGGTCGTAATGTCTTTCGTCTAGTCCAGGAAGGTATGTACAAGGTGATAGATTTACATAAGTGTCTAAGACACTTGTTTCTAATTCCTATTTTGTGTTTTGTTACAAAATGATATATATATATATATATTGCATATATATGTATATAATTGAAATACTTGAATAAAAGAAAGTTATACTAGACTAAGGTATGTACATTTATGTAGGTCACCGAACAGTCTATGATAGTTTGAACACGTTTAAATTACAGTAGACAATTATTCTCATTGTTTTATTTCATTCCGCGTTGATCAAAGGCCCTTTGTAGAAAACCCGAATTAAGTGCTTTATACGTTAACGGGATTCACATACCCAAACATTCTTTTTATACTATATATTCCTTTAATTTGTGGTTTGATTACTTGATATGTTTGCAACCTTTAAATGAGGTATGTCACAAGAAAGATGCTGTTCATTATAAATTTGTAATAAATCCTCGATGGTGTCCAATAATGCTCCGTTCATACATATCCCCGTGGTGTACGTAGGTATGTTTGAAATGTGATGCATACGTTCACAAATGTTACAAAGATGCATAGCAACTATCAATAGTCATCTTAATATTAATAACAACACAGTCAAATTGATGTCAACTTCAGTGTTGAACACACTGTTTATCAAGTGATGGAATAACCATTTTTGCGCGTGAGAAATATTGTATTTTATATTGTCACTGTTTCCGTCAGGCGACTAACGTGAATAGCAGGAAATCATTCGGGGAAGTCCGTCAGAATGTTTGATGTTCATGACTGTTCGCTGGCCTTTTGCTATAACATTATATCGGAGAGACAGCAACAGTTTTAGACTGGAAAACATTTACTTGTGATAGCTCTTTGAGCTAAAAGAGGGATGGTAGGTATATTTTGAGACTGTAACCTAGAAATGCTCTCAAATCACACATTATTTCGTGCTCTGCGTGTAACTTGGCAATCATATTGCTATGAATGTCAAATGGACTCATATCAATAGTAAATCACGATCTTAAAATTGGTGGTCATAAATAATTGAAGAACGAGATCAATAGAATGATGACAAAACAGGAAATTGGACAGTTGTAATCCAATTTACGACAGTTTTTGTCTGTAAGTACCGTCCGTGGTCTGTTCTGTTTCTTATTGTTATTATTTAATGGTCCCTTCTCAGCGATTTTGAGGAATCATCTGTTTGGTCCTGGACTTATTGTTTTCTTGTGGAACCACTGAGATCCCTCTCTATATTTTACTAATCGGACTCATAACAACTTTATAATTTGCTGGAAGTCACCTTTAAAGGTTTCATTGCATAAGGTCTATACTGTTATTAATGCTGGTCTATTTTGGTATTTTTTTGGATATTCTGTATATAGTGTATTCCTTTTCTACTGTGTGTGTTCTATGTACAATTTTTTCTCTCTCGATACAGCCTCTATCCTTTTAAATGTAAATTCTGTACAGATCTATTCCGTCACGATGCACACTAACTTCTATATCGTGTGTCCTGCCTGAGGTCATATCTCGAGCAGTACTTTGAACATTTCTTGCTGGATTCCCTTCTACATAATGATGTTGATTTATGACGTTTTAAAGGGATTTGTGACATTGCGAAAGACACCTACTGATCATTTTCAAGGAAAAAGCAACAGAACCTTTAAAGCTCGTTTGCAGTATCCAAGTTGACAAATTGCACGATTTAGGATATATTGATGTCTTGTCATATATTATGTTGTATCCGAGACTTATGATGAACATTTTCCCTTTAAC